TGTGTAGTAGCACCAACATAACAAATTTAGTTATAACTTTTCTACAAATATATATATATATATATATATATATATATATATATATAATATGAAGAAAAATATACGGAAAAAACAAACAAAAATCCTAATATGCAATTATGCTGTTTTAATGTTAATATAATGTCAACATTGTACGTTTTGGTCTAGTAGACCATCTTCAGGACATATTTATAAAACATAATTAACGTACATATAAGTTTTAGATTAAAATAAAATTCTTTTCATTTTTCATTCAAAATACTATATTTTAGGAATACATTTTCACAACATCGTCCACGTGACGCCGACGTGATCATATTGAAACGGAACGCTGATCTTGAAAAATTTCAGTTGTCTGTTTTGATTAGTCTTACTCTTATGTCCATCGTCTTTTCATGTTGAATTGAATATAGTCTAATGTTAATTATGTTTTATGAATATGTCCTGAAGATGGTCTACTAGACCGAAACGTCCGACGTTGACATTATATTAACATTAAAACAGCATAATTGCATATTAGGATTTTTGTTTGTTTTTTCCTATATTTTTTCTTCATACTATCGGATCTATATTCATATATTTGCTTTTATATATATATATATATATATATATATATATATATATATATAATGTTGAACAAATCACAATAATGCTTAAATTTTAATATTTAAGAAAACTGTGTAGTAATTCTAAGTAAAGTTTCTCTAAAAAATAAAACATTTGCCAGTGTCTTGAGAGTTTTTCCCTCCTTTCAAGTTTCAAATCATTTTTCTCTTCTGCTTTTTGTGGTCCATCAAAAGAATTCTTCTGTTCAAATTGAGTGGGCAAAAGATCACTTTGAAATTCAAGAACTGATCACTTCCAATCTCTTTGACTCTCTTCCAAAATTCATGGAATTCTTTCTGCTCCTGGCACTAAACCAAATTGTTAAAGGATTCCTGAGAATCTGTTAATGCTTTACTTCATGCATTGCATTCTTTGCATATGTCCCATTTTCTTGTCATATATTTGTCTCTGCTTTGGCCTTGAAGATGGTCCTCAGTGGCATATGCTTTGACAATACAGATAAAGAATTACTCAGATAATAAAGAATTAGCTTTATAAATTTTGATTTTCATGTATATTGTCTCCTATTCAGTAATTAATCATAGTTTACATTTCTGAAGGTGAATATTTGTCTTGGAAGTTTTCCTCTATTAAGAGTAGTACATAACTGTATTAAACTATATTGATAATAGGTTTGTTTTTTATGGCTTATCAACCTTTTGCAGATTAATTAAAACCAGAAAATATCTTTGGATTGTAAGAAATTTTTTGGAGATAATGATTTACTGATACAAGTTCTACTAAATAACCAATACCTTGTTGGGGGAGGGTGGATTCATACCTTTTCCAAGGTTATTTGTGTGTAAATGAATATAACAAACCTGACTGAAATTGAAACTTGGCTCTTTGATTTCCAGTTTTAAGCATATCAAACTATAATATAGTTATCATTAAGTACTAATTAAGAAGTCAAATTCTAGACAAAGATAGATTTATAAACGTTAATTCTTTGGTGTACCATATGTTGCTAGCTAGTATTTACTGGAGATGAACAAATGGTTAGAACGTTATCATTTTGATCTTGAAAATTAGGTTTAAATCATGCCAGGGCCAATGCAAGTGGCACTGATGCACTTTTTAATGGTATCAGCTTTGAAAGATGATCCCAGTGTGCAGATTGAACCAAGCCTTGTGAATTAAATTAGGTAGAAAAAAACTGTTTGGAAGCTGTCGATTGTTGTGTTAGCATGAAGTCACAAGTCATTGTGGCAGAGGGCTTGCGCATACTGGTGTGTTCAAATGCTGATCATACCAGATTGTGTGCTCTCTCTGGGTATTGAAGAAACAGATATGCCTGAGCAGTTGTCTGCAACAGGGATTAAATAGCCACCCTTGCAGGCTAAGGTTAATAAATCTTCATCTTGTATTCTTGTGCTAAGTCATTTCATTTATAAAAATAGTTGTTTATAAATGTTGACAAACAGTTTTCCAGTATTAAATGATTTCGTACTTGTAAAGTCAATGATACTTCTGACTGAATATATTAAATGTTATGATTTAAAAAATAAAATCTAATTTACAAAATTTAAAGACAACAATTATTCCACTGATCACATACACTATAAAATATTATAATTTATAGGGAATACTCTCTATCTTTTGTACTCACACTGGAAAATTTAACACTTGCAGAACATATTGAGGGCAAAAGAAGTGGTAGGTGGGGGAGTGATAAACAAATTTGAATTTATGCGAATGAATAGTGAAAGAAAGACAAAGAGGGATGGTAAAGAATCGGAAGTTACTTAGAACAACAAAAGACAGGAAGCTGTGGGGAGTCATGATTGCCCATATCTTTAAGGGACATGGCTTGTAAAAAGATGACAGGATTATTTATGTATGGACAAATTATACAAATATATTTTTTGCTAAAGATGCAATAAAAAATGCATTCATCAAATAATTTTTTTTTATTTTGAATCATCTTTTACAGCTCTTTTCTGTTTTTAATAATTTTAAAACTATAAACCAATGAAACCATGATAGCAGTATTAGTGACATTACCAGCAGCTGTCGCCTATCTCCAGTAAACATGCAACCAAAGTAGAGCCCATTTTGTGTTTATTCCTTTAGTGTGACAAAACAATAAACAGATAAAAATTGTGTTAATGTCTTTTCTATTCTAAAATTGTTCAGCTCTTGATTTTGTAATTGATCCTGTTTCTCTTCAGGAATTTGTCATTATTAAGATTTGCTTAGTAAACCACACATTTTCTCCTTCCATTTCTGTGCTGTCAAGATTGTCATGCCCAATAGAGGTTTGTTATTTGGAGGTCGGGGGTGTTAATGCTTTTCTTGAAGGAATAGATAGAAAACATATTTGGTAATAGGAATTTGCCCTCCCCCATGCCTTTTTTAATTTAGTTTTAATTGTTCATGTTTTATATATTTATTTTTCTTTTTAATAGTTTTACCCCAAGTAAGGTGATAATGCCACTAAAATGCAAGGGGTTATTGGGAATGGAAGAGAATTAGAAGTTTTTAATGAGAAGAAAGGACAAAAAAAAAAAGAACAGGATTCAGGAAGACAGTAGATTGCAATTGACATTGCATTTAAATTTTTGAAGAACATGGGTGGTAGTGAAGCAAGAAATCAAAAGAGAGCTCCACAGGTGAGAAGTGCAAGAAAAGAAACTATTAGAATAGAACTTATGGTCACATAAAGCAATTTCAACAGTAAAACAATGAGACTTAATTGCCAATCTAGTACTACATATTATGTCTTTTTACATTTTGATTTACTTGAAGTTATTTGAAATTTCTATACTTTCACATATCTTTTATTCCCAAACATCAAAACCAATAAACTTTAAAATATTCTTAGGGAAACTTGTTTTCTCAGCATCAGGTTTTTTGTTTTTATAGAATATTTGTTTTGTCTGTATTTAAGTTCTAACTAATTAAAGTGAAGCACTCCACTTTTGTTTATTTTTTCTCTCTATTTTAAAAGAAAAAAAAAACAATTAAGTAATTTTAAAGGCAGAAGATGATTCATAAATTTTTTTTTATCAGAACAAATTTAGGCAATTGAATAACAAAGTGGAAAAATTCTGAGTAATGCATTTCATGCTTGAAAAGGAATTCATCAGACTGATGGAATTATATATGTGTACAGTGGAGAGGTGAGATATAAACATAAACGTTGATTATAATTATACACCGAGAGGAAGTGCTGATGATGTGGGAAAGTTAAATTTAAAATTTTTGTATTTTAAGTTGGCCCAATTTAACCAATCTCACTCACAATGTGGGGTAATTAAAAATAGCAGCAATTAAAAACAAAGGCATCTGGATGAGATTGGCTAAACTGTCTTGTCTAGACATTTTAGAAGACAAAAAATTAAAAACTCCAAAATTTTCAAAGACTAAAAGTTTTAAATTTAGCATTCCCACATCTTCAGCACTTCCTCCCAGAGCATACTTATAATTGACATTCACATTTATATCTCCCCCTACACACATATAAATCCATCAATGAAAACATTACTTCAGTTGTCTGATGAAGCCCTCTTGAGCAATTGAAACATGTTACACAGAATTTTTCCATTTTGTCATTCAAGGTATTTAAATCAAGCTTCACTATTCTACAGATCCATAAGAGATTTCTGTCTAGTTAAATCTATAAAGCATCAGGGTATGTTTTCCGCAAGAGCAGTGTTGGTCTTGAAGGTTATTACTAGAAGAATGTCCCACAACTTTAACTTTGTACCAAAAGTTAAGGTTAGTGAATATATATAAGGTATGGATAATGTTAAGAGTAATATTATCTTTGTATGATGAAAAATAAATATAAAATGAACAAGAAAAAAAAGTTATGGAATTATAGAAAATCCTGTTCACTGAACCTGAACAGAAAAAAACCCAAAAAAACAAAATCATTATTCGTTATTGTATTCCCATGAGGATAGAGCTTGGCTCTTGTAATTTAAATCTACCTTTCGTCTTTTAGAACTCACTAATGGAAATGTAAGTGCTATTTTGTAAAAAAAAAAAATAAATAAATAAAATGAAATGATAAAGTAAAAACAACTACCTGCTACTATGCACCGACTTAATTCATTTGAGCAGCACACAGTAAATGTGTGTACTGTCTGTACTATTTATAGCCTCTGTACTTGTGATCTGGTGTCTGATTTCTCAAATTGAGGAGGTCTGCTGCCTTGGAAAGTAAAAAAGTTATGATAGTTTTTATGAAACTACTAAATTAAAAAAAAATCCTTCATTATTAAGATAATAAATTCATCTTTTTTTTTAAAAAAAAATAAATAATATATTGAAGAGTTTGACTAGTTTCATTATTGGTACAAAATTCCAAATGTGAGATAAGTCAATGAGTTTTAAAATTTTATATATATTGTAATTCAATTGTAGAGGCTTATGGCCATATCACATTAAAACATTGGTTCTCATACAATCACTGAAGTTAAGCAACCTTGAGCCTTGTCAGTACCTAGATCAGTGACCGCTTTTGAATACTAGGTGTTGTAAGTTTGGATGTGCGTGTGGTGTAATGAATGACGTCTCTGAATTGGAAAATGGAGAGCAGAGATCCAATTCCAGTTGGGTTATATTCATGTACATGCAAATACTCTTGAAAAAGGTATGAATTTACCTCTTTTTCTACCTATGGGTTAATTATTAGGACTTACAATCTAAAAATATGGTCTGGCCTTAAATAACCTGCAAAAGGTTGATAAGTTTGTCATTGTTTCAACTGAAAATAGTTCAACAATATTTATGGGAAACAATATTTATGGCTTGTTAACAAACAGCAAAGTGGAAGGCCTTGCTATGGCATAATGATTATTTAGCTAGTCTTGCCAACTATAATTCTTATAGTAAGTTTGATTCTGATGTGATGGAATAACCTGCCACCCCCATGAGTGGCAGCACTATAGGTGGTAACCACCTATAAGTATCTGTTAGGACAGCAAAGCCGAGCTGGGTTCTGCAAGAATTAGCGGCCTTCTGATAGCAGCACGCACACAACTACACTGACCTGCAACAACCGTGTGCATAACTATTACTGCCTTGCTTGGTGTATTGGTTTCTACAATAAACCTGTTACTATTTATCCACCGTGTGTGTCCATTCCAGATTCCTATTAGCATGGAATATAACAGATTTTCTCTAGGTGCCCCTGCACTTGTAGACCAAATATGAATAACTAGCGAGATAGTAGAGTGTTATCCAAGAGAATATAGCTTTCATGATTAGTATTACAAGTTAAAATTCTTTTCAAATTCACATCAGTTTAGTGAGTTGTTTTTTGTTTTTTTAATGTCATGTCCCTTTCAGATGTAGGTGATCATAGCTCTCTACAGATTCCTTTTACTTTATTTTCTGTAAATTGCCATGATTTCTTGAGACAGATTGGAGTAGAAAAAGCATTTTCTTCCTATCCCAGCTTCCCATATTCCTCCAGCAGTCTGTATTTTGACCCTGTGCAAGGAGTAGGGTTACAGGGTTTCATACCTGAAGATTGCTTGAGGTATAAAACTGACTGTCACCATGCAGTGTTGATTTCTAATATGCACATTATCTATATCTAAAAATGACCCCTTTCTAATATTGTGCACTCTTTCCCTATAAATATAACAAATTTTAAAATTATATGTATATATATATATATATATATATATATATATATATAGTGGGTATCATGGTGGAGTAATGGATAACAGTTCAGATTGAGGACTCAGAGATCTGAGTTTGAATTCCACTCAAGTTGATTGCATACACTTATGTGCTAATAAATACCCTTGGGAAATGTATAAATTCATCTCTCCTCTCCAACTGTGGGTAAATAACCTTGGTTGGCAACCAGTCTAGGAAAAGGAAATCTCTGAATTCAAACCACCAGCTGTCTTGTAGGTCCTGCCTCTTTAACTTCTGAAAAGGAGAAGGTAACCTCAACGTGCAAAAGAAACTGGAATGCCATTACACAATTCTGCCTTGAATGTCACCATGAACCATAATTGTGAAATGCACAGTGGTGCAAAATGGACTAACTGAATAAATGATGATGATGATGATATACATTCTTATAAAAAATGTAAAGAGTTCATAGCACTTATCAAGAACTGACTCCAAGTTTTGCAATGTTTCGTTTTGCCAGACAAGAACATTGTATCATTAGTAAAATATATGTTTTTATAAGCACTTCTAGAAAATTTTTTATTAAAATGTATATTCTTCTTGTCTGGGCTCTGATGACTACCACCTCATCAACACAAACCCAAACATACCTGTCTCCTTCTTAGACATGAATTTGGTAACAATTGCAAGTAAGCAGTGATCAATATGGAACAAATGTTTAACTCACAATGATAGATTAGGAACAATTTAACATCACCTTCAGGTAATTCATAATCCTGATATGAACACACTAATAAACAGCACTGACAAAATGGTGATTCCTACTAACACTTCCACTGCCGCATTGTTATAACATTCTTGCCTGGCTGTACTGGCCTGTTTAAGGAGGAAATAAGAAATTGCCATTTACTGGAAATACCTTATCAACAAACAGTAAATCATTGAAATTCTTCATTATTGCTGCTTGAGTTTAAGAACTGATATCTCCCATAAAAATATCCTGCCAAAGGTTGTGTCCAGGAGAGGTCAGAGGACACTCTAGTGTTGGCTCAGTTGTACTCAGTTAATGGAACATGTATTCCAATTAGCAGCTGAATTTAAAAATTAAAAAGAAATCTCTCCAGGTACAGATCTATAGACTATTTAGCTCGACATATAAATTAGGAGGTACTGAAAAGTTCTCAGCCCAAGAAATAGAAAAATTCTGATACTTGATCATTTGGCAATTTAATTGGGTCAAGAACTTTTCAGCATCCCTCTTTCCGAAGATTTTTTCATTGTCTGTCTCTAAGATAAATATTTTACTTTCATAATGCCTATTTCTAAGATTTTCTGTGATATGAAACTTTAAAGAAGTATGAGTTTTTTTTCCCCTGGTGTCCCAACTAGATGAATTTAAGTGTACTACTAGATTGGCATTTAGGTCCCACCTGCTTACTGTTGAAATAGTTAAATGCAACTGCCACTTCTACTCCAACAGTTTCTTTGCTCACACTTCCCAACAGTGGAACTCCCTTCCATTTACAAAAATTTAAATGAAACATCAATTGCCATCTTCTATCTTCTTGAATCCCGTTCATCTTTTCTTCTTTTGTAAATCCTCCCTATACTCAGTCTTTTCTCTCATTTTCACTTCCTGTAACCACCCTGCATACTAGTGGCATTACCATCTTGCTTGGGATGGGAGGTAAAAAAAAAGAAGGGCAATGCCTGAAAAAAAAAAACAGTGTGTCAAAAGGACAGTTATTCCTTTGACATCATTATTAATGTATACATTTTTGACTACCTTGGCAATGTTTATGGTTTTAAAAAGTGATGTTTAGAATTCTAATAAAACCCAAACATGAAAGTGGATTTATACATTTTCTCTATTGAGAACTGGCAACAAAGATAAACACTATTTATTTAGATTGCTTATTTACAAGAATAATTTTATATTTATAAGATTATAAAAATATGTGCTGTGGGAATCATTTCTCTTGTTGTGCGGTGTAGACATTTTTCAGAAAATGTTTATGGCTCCTGAAAAATTTGTCCAGCAAACAATATTTGGTGAACTCATGTGTGTCTGGGCAAAAAGAAACACAAAATATAGATCTCAAAACAAACAACAATTAATGCATATTATTAACAAAAAGAATTAGATGTGTACACAATTGAAATCAAAGGAAAAGACATTAAAACTAGGTATAAGAATGTGCTTGCTTGAGTGTGTGTGAGAGTTCAATAGTCACAGGGGGACACATTGCCTACATGTGACTAGATTTTGAAGCAAGAGGAAAAGGCATTTTTGGTGAAACCCACATATATAAACCAACTATAATAAAATATTTATTATTTACCATTTTATGAAGAAATAAATCTGTAAATAAATTTTCATTCATAAAAATGTCTGTGAATAAGAAAATTTAAATTAACATATAATGACCTTAACTAATTATAAATTTAGAAATTTTCTTTTTTTTTTTTTTTTTTTTTTTTCAGGCATTTTTTTTTCATTTGCACCTAAATTTCCTAAAATAGGTTGAGAGCATTTCTTCTTCTGAACAAAACATTCTTTTAATTTTTGCTTTTAGGTGAAACCACAAACACTCAATATTTTGAGTGTGTATCTTCCTAAAGTTTTTATAATTACAGAATGTTTGTAATTTTTACTACAGATATTGCATTGCAGTTGGTTTACATATTTTGATTTTGTAATTTTTTATAAATTTCTTAATAAAAAGATTTCTTTTCAAATTTATTTCTTTGTAAGCTGATGAATAATAAATCTTTATAAAAGGTACATAAATGGCTTTGAGTTTGGTTCATATATTTTTAAAATTTTGTAAATAAATCAAAAAGGTATTAAGTAATAGTGGTGTCAAGAGAATAATCATCCTTTTGACACAACATTTTTTGCAGACATAAAGGTTAAACATTGCCAAAATAAATATATTTGTGATAGCTTTAAAATAGTTATAGTATTACTCATGCTATTATTACTTGACCCAACTTAGAAGAAGCATTTGGTCTTCAATGTAACCCACTGTTGAAATACAGTCAAGATAAAGTGGTTAAATCTAGACAATTTTTGTTTCTATTTTCAATAAACAAAAGGACTTGGGTTTAAGTAGGGCCACATATCTTGAATAACAATGTATTGTTCCACTTTCTTCAATTCTTTTGTTCTGGTAAACCTATTTTTCCTTTGTTATTAATTTAATTATATTTAAGTATATCATTTGAAACTAATTATTCATATTAGTTCTTTCAAACTCTTTCCAGTTATTGGTGAGAAAAAAAAATCTTTTTGTGTTGTTGGTCTTCTAGGTGGAATATATTTTTTTTTGTTTATGTGTTAGGAAGAAATTAATAAATTGCAAGTTGGTTGGTTAAAGAGAAAATAAGTGAGATTGAAAATGCACGTATTTAAAGAAATTCAGTGAAAGTAAAATAGAATAATGTAAGAATTCACATAACCAAACATAGCCTAGTGGAGTAAAGCATTGGTTTATAAATTTGGTAGCATAGTAATTGTAGACTGGGTAGTGCAAACTCAGAGTTAGACTCAATGTAGACAGAGAAAGCAATAATTGTGCAGTATTAAGAACAAGACGAGATATCCAGAGACAGTAGAATGAGAATAATCTACCCACATAGATTGAATAAAATGTTCAGTTCAAAATTCCTATAAGGTTACCTAGATCAACAGATCTTTTTGTGTTGTTGCTCTTCTATGTTGACTTTATTTTTGTTATATATAAAATGCATGGTGTCAAGGGACTGGGGAAGTTAATAAACCGCCAGTGTAACCCGATGGAACTTAGCTGTGATCAAAACACCCACATAGAAATGGATGGGAAATGATTTTCTCTGTCTGTATTTTGAGATTTTTATGACCTACAGTA